TTTGATTTTTCCTCCATTTGAGTGCTTCTGGTGCTTCATGATGATGTAATATGCATATTGCAGGTTGTTAATAAACCTTCCTCCAATCCTGATGCCACATTCTTCTTCATATAATCCAGATTCTCTGATTGGTGAGCTTACAGATTGAGTCAGTATAGTGAGAGACCACAACCCTGATGCACACCTTTCCTGATTTTAAACCATGCAGTATGTCCTGGTTCTGTTCACACAATGGCCTCTTGATCCATGAACAGGTTCTACATGAGCACAATGACGTGTTCTAAAATGTCCATTCTCCTCAAGCCTGTCTGTACTTTCAATGTCTTTGCATAATCAATAAACACAAGAAAACACCATTCTAGCATTCTCTGCTTTCAGCTAAGATCTGACGTCAACAGTGATCTTCCTTGTTCCATGGCCTCTTCTGAATCCGCCCTGAAACTCTTGCCAACTCGCCAATGTAGTGCTGCAACTGTTAGATAATCTTTAGCAAAAGTTTACTTGCATGTGATATCGAACGATATTGTTCTTTAATTTGTGCACTCTGCTGGGTCCCCTTTCTTTGGAATGGGTACAAATATGGATCTCTTTCCAGTCAGTTGGCCAAGGAGCTGTCTTCCAAATTTCTTGGCTTCATTAGCTTACTGAAACACTTCAGTTGGTATTCCACCAATTCCTGGAGCCTTGTTTATGGCTAATGCTTTCAGTGCAGCATGAACTTTTTCCTTCAGGACTACTGGTTCTTCCTAATAAGTTACCTCTTGAAATGGCTGAATGTCAGCCAGTTCTTTTTCCAACTTCTCTCGATGCTTCCTCCATCATTCAATATTTTGCCCAAAGAATCTTTCAATATTGCAATTTGAGGCTTGAAGTTTTTTCTCTTTAGTCCTTTCAGTTCTAGATATGCTGAGCATGGTTTTTTGTTTTATAACTCTAGGTCTTTGCACATTTTTATTATAATATCTAACTTTGTCTTCTTGAATTGCCCTTTGAAATTTTCTGTTCATCTCTCTGACTTAATCATTTCACCCATTTGCCTTAGCTACAGTATGATTAAGAGAATTTTTCAGTCTCTTCTGACACTCATGCTGACCTTATCTTCCCTGTCCTTTGAGTGAACTTTGCGCTCCTCACGTACAGTGCCCTGAATGCCATCCCACAGCTCCTCGGGTCATTAATGCGCAATGTGTCAAATCTGTTCTTGAGATCTTCTCGAAATTCAGGTGGAATGGACTCGAGGTTGTAGTTTAGCTCTTCTGGACTGGTTCTAATTTGCTTCTGCTTCAACCTGAACTTACAATGAAGGAACTGAAGGTGTGCTTCAGAGTCAGAACCTGGACTCGTGTTAGCTAATACTGAGCTTCTCCTTCGTCTCTCCCACAGATGTAGTCAATTTGATTCCTGGGTATCCCATCTGGAGAGGTGTTTGTGTTGTTGAAAAAGGTATTTGCAATGAAGAAGTCACTGGCCATGCAAAATCCTATCATGCGGTCCCCCAACCCATCTATAAGCAAGACCATATTTCCCAACTCTGTTCATTCCTTTGTTTCCAACTTTTGCATTCCAATTGCCTAGGGTAGTGGTTCTCAACCTTCCTAATGCCGCAACCCTTTAACACAGTTCCTCATCTTGTGGTGAGCCCGACAACCATAAAGCTATTTTCGTTGCTACTTCAGAACTGTAATTTTGCTATTGTCATGAATCGGGCAACCCCCGTGAAAGGTTCATTCAAACCCCAAAGGGGTCGCGGCCCACAGGTTGAGAACCACTGGACTAGGGGGTAAACCTTTCATATGATTACCCAAATTCATCCCTACTTAAAGTAAAAACTTAACTCTTGATTAATCCTTTGTGTTCCAATGCCTCTCTGCACTGCTGGTAAAAGAAATAATTGGTATTACTATTTTATTGGCTGAATTTAATTAAGAAACCATGAAAACCAAATAGCTTTCAGGTATGTCCTGGTCAAAGTGCTGCTTTCAATAACTTGCTGTGGAAAGAATCCATTAAATAATAATGATTGTGCTCCTAGACTTGACACTATCTACTGAGTATTTCACATTTTCATTTCTTTGTTGGATGAATAAAAATAAAAGCCAAATTCTGCCCTTGCAACTTCAAGTCAAATGGTATGTTAACACATACGCCTCACCAATCAACTATCTCAATATGATGCTTCATCTTCACAATCATAGTAAAAAACTTTCATCACAGCCAGCATTTGTTATTGCCAGATGTATGTCATTAATATTCAAAACAGTCAGAGTGAACAATTTTACCGGCAGTGCAGAGAGGCATGGAAACACGAAGGATTAATCAAGAGTCACACTGGCTGGGACAGTTAGGGTTCCACATCAGCGTGGCCCACCCATGATTCTCGGTGGTTTAGCAGTTAATGTTATGAAATAATTTGGCAGTCCTGTAATAGGTAACTTGGCAATTACATAATGATGTGGTCATCCTTCACTTTCATAGACTGTTGATTTTCTTATAAGCACCTCGTTATTGGAACCTGCCCATGTCGGTAAGTGAGGGGCTGCTAGCCTTGTATGCCCAGAACCCTGTTAAATTTTCATTAATATGAACCCACTGTCAGCACACTTCTCCAGAAGCATTCATGCAAGGCAAAGCTCCATGAGGAAAAAAAAAATTCTCGTAAAGCACACACCTGAGACCTTTTGCTAAAATTGGGGAAATAGCTAGTTGAGAAAACCTAAGAATTCTATTATTTTAAATGTGAAAATCAGTAAGGATCCGTGGAAATAATATGTAGGGGCTTCAAAAAGTCCATGGAAAAGTGGACTTGTTCCACCAGATTCTTGAAGCCCTTTCATGTACGAAACTTTGACAAGTCTAAGGCAAATAAAATAAAGGTTCACCTAATAGTCTTGGAACGCTGATTTGCTAAGAATTAATTCCTAAAGAGAGCTTTTCAAAACAAAAGATTTTATATATATAAAATTATTTTTAAAGTTTACTAAAAGCACTCTGATAAACCAACTAACAAAATTGTAGTCACCTCTTTGAACACATTTTTTTTAAACCTTCATGAACACTTACTAAATGTTTGGAGGAAAATAGTAGTAAGACTTACCAGGAGAAAAAAAAAATTTTTTTTAAGTATTCCACACATGACACTAAGGATCCAACAATCCTGATCTGTAAGTGTGAAAAATACTTCTATTAAAATAATTCCATAGGGAAGGTTATGTTTTCCTTTAGCACACACTTGCAGGTATATTAAAATCAAATTAACAAAGGAGTACTGAATCTCTATGTGTTTAAAAATCCTTCAAATAAATTCCACCTGAGGAATTTTCATGTTTATTTTGATGTGTCACAGTATGAAATACTGCACATGCGTTCCATAGCATGTGCACAGCTAGTCCAGAGCTTTAACAGGGACGTATCACAGTGCTCCATCACAGAACCAGACCATTTTAGACTGATATCCTCCTTTCAAAATTCCAAGTGAGGATAAGGGAAGCCAAAGGACCAATAAAGATGGTCTAGATTTCTAAGAACACCAGGAGATAGCCTATGCTATCAAGAACTATGAAACAGGCAAAAACTAACAAGCTGAAATTTAAGAATAATAAATGCCTTTAGGTACAAAACAGCACAAGCACATAGGTGAGATTTGGAAGCACTACTTCAAAGCAGAATTAAGAAGAGAGCAGAAGTTTTGTCAAAGAAGTTAAAGTATGACATATCTAAAAACATGAAGAATGATCAGAGATAGCAGCAAAAGGAGTACATTTCCATTAAGACAGCGGTACTCGCCGTATGTTTTGATCTGAGTGAGACTAGGAAGAATGAAGTGTAGCATGTCATTGACAAGTTGAGATTCAGAACAGTGAAGAAAGTAGGTATCAGCACAAGGGACTCACTTGACGTAGAACAAAGTTAAGTGAGCACACTTCCCAGAATAGAGCTGTATAAAACTTTCAGGTTCTCATTGAAGTTACACACAATGGGGGCATCTCACGCCCAGAAAAAGACGACTCAGGTAGGTAACAGAAAAGCTTTAAAAGTCTGAAGCCAATTATAATAGTATAATAAATAAAACCCCAAGCCTAACTTCAAATCCTAACTTAACCCTCGTCACAAGCAATTTCCTCACCAGTGAAATACAGATGAAAATGATCATCAAATTTATTTTGTGCATTAAGTGAGATAATAAATAGAAAGTATTCTTTAAACTATTAAGTGTTTTTAGGTAGTAGGAGGCCCAGATTTCTTCTACAAGATGCCAAAAGATAAAACTAAGATTTCATCAATGGGTAGTAACCAGAGTGGACAAATTCAGCTACATACAATTCAAGAAGTACTGAATTGGGAAGTGCCCAATCACCGAAGGCATTTACACACAGACTAGCACACCTCTTGGCAAAAACCCAGAAAAACGCGGACAGCTGGTTGGCTAGGTCCACAACAAAAAGAAGTCAGATATTTGCAATTTCCCTCTCAAGGACAGAAGCACAATAATGATTACAGTGCAACACGTATGTCTGGCACGGTGCAACGGAACGGATGGTGAGTGAGATCTGGCAGTGTTCCCAGCTACACCAGACCGGCATCACAGGTCTGGTATGAGAACAGGTCAATACAGTTGCCTAGCATAAAGCATCTTCAAATATGGCATTTCCTTTCTCCCACTTCTAAAGTCTATTCATGTACGCAACTCCATTATTTGCTATTCAGAGCATGGATGTCTAATTAAAAAAGAAGGAGATACGGTTCACCTGTTATTATGTTAACAAGCAAATATCCGCCAACATGTCAAAAGTATTCTGTTCAGAAAACGTAAGTTATACAACCCTACTTGGAAGTCATGTGTTGATTTTAAAATAAAGACATGGAAAGTATTAGCAATCTTGCACTCAGGCAATCTTCCATTCATTCCACACACAGTACTGGCCGACTGTCATGATTCAGGTATTTACAATTCAAGTTACCTTACTTGACACACTTTCATAGAATGTAAAGGAAGATCTAACCTGGATTCTGGCTATAAAAGGGTCCTCCGTTCATCTGGTTCGGAAGGCTTGTCTGTGACGCTATGGAAGGTGGACGTCTGTAGGGCAATGAGCCCCCGATCGTTGGGGGAGTGTGGCGAGATGCAGGTCTGTTCATGCTGTAGAACTGAACAGGGTGACCTGGAAGAGGGCCAGAATGTAACAGACCTGTCATCCAAAGATAATTATTACAGACAAAATATTTTAGTTGCAATGCCTGAATCTTAATAAGATTACTGAAAATAGCAATGCGTAGCTAAGCTAATTGACCTACTATCGGAAAAACACAAGCTGCTTTGCAATACAAAAAGGCATAGTGCAAAAGTCGGAAAATATACACAACCTTTTGATTAAATTTGGCAAAGCTACACCTAAACTAATAATGAATTTATTAAACTGATCTGATAAATTTGGCAAAGCTACACCTAAACTAATAATGAATTTATTAAACTGATCATTTGATAAGGTTTCAAAATCATCACAGTACATGAAATGTATGCCCTTGGCTTAAAAAAAAAAAAAGCCTATAACATACTAGAAACTAAATTCAAGACAATTGAACAAATTTACTGGTTTGGGAGAACAGGTGGTTTAAGATGTTTGACACACAGTTGTCTTATTCAAAAATAAGGCACAACCTTATGCCAAAATAATAATAAAACTAAATACCAAAGCACTTCTTTAAAGAAAATTCACAGTTAAGCAACAAATGTCTTAATTCTTTATCAAAAACATCTTTCTTCAAGCAAAAATATCCACCTTTATAGCTATAGCTTGTTTTAAAAACAGAACTCTAATAAATCTGGCAGTCATTGGATACTGGTTCAGATCTCTTGCTGTGAAGGTATCTGAAAAGTGGCACAGGACTACTAGATACTATTTTAATGCTCTGTGGACTTTATGAAGATACGTCTTAATCTAGCTTGGTTCTACCACTGTCAATGAGTGGCATCAGAGCTTCAACCTGCAGATTGCAGAGGGCTATGGTCAACAGTGGAAGCCCAAAACCCATGTGCAGGGTCCACACATAGAGTAAGCCTCTGATGAACGACCCTCCTACCATCATGGAAGGCCTTGTTATCAGACAGACAGCACTATAGAAACTGTAATGGTAGATATAGTTAGGTGAAATAAAATGTGCTGTCCTATTTGATCTCCCTTATAACACATTATTTGTTTTACAAAGCAGAAACAGTGAAGGGGACGACACATGGATCACATCTGTGAACCCCCTGACCACAGACCAGGGATGTGAGCAGCCTGCTCTCGTGCAGGCTGCACTGGAAGATGGACTGTAGCAGACGTAGTGAGGTTAGAGATTGACACCATATCATCCAATTTGACTCTTTTGGCCTATTTTAAAGTTCTTTTAGTTTTTAATGTTTTCTGCCTTTTTTCAGTTGCGATTTTTTCTGTTCTGTTATTTTTGTTAGCTTTTGGGGGGGGAGGTTCAGTATATGAAATCCAGGATTGGTGAAACTATAGAGACAGTAACTTGATTAATGGTTCCTTTGCGATGTATGGCAGGGGAGGTTGGGGCAAAATGGGGAGCTAATAGCGATAAGTACAAGAAAAGATGAAAATGTTCTCAAAGTGATTGTGGTGGTCAATGTACAGCTCTTCTAGATATGACTGAATTATTGAATTTATATATGTGGATTATATGCCAATAGAACAGTTAAATAAATAAAAAGAGTTTTAGAAGTTTACAGTTACTAGATAAAAGCTAAAATTCAAAAGTAAATTAAAATATCTTATTTTAATATCACTTATACAAATTTATCATCTATTTTAATACATTTTCCTGAAAGCTCTTCAGTAGTTATTGTCAACTGGAGACACACATTTTTAATCCACTCAGTTTCCTAAATTCAATCTGATACCTACATTTTCTTGACCTCAATTCTACTTACAATCATTCATGTAAAAGCTTTTTTGAGGGGAGACAGAAAGAGAGACAGAGTGCACATGCATGCACGATCCGCAGCTCTGGCGCTCCCAGGGAGAGAGCACTCCAGCAGGCAGAGAGGTGGGAGGGGAGCAGGGGAAGGAAAGGAAAGGAAAAGAGAGGAAGGGACCAGGAAGGAAGAAGAGAGACAAAAACACGGTTTTGACATTTTTATCGTATCCATGATTTTAAATGAGTCTTATATGACTAAAATTAATCTTTAGAAACTCAATAGATGTTATCAAACTTTGATTCACAGAGATTCATGTAAAGTATCTTATATTTTAGAAAAGCACTCAAGATCTGCTATGTTATTTAATCTTCTTAGATGTAACAGTTTCCAAACCTCAAAAACCTTCCTGTTCTATGAAAATCTGAAGTATTAAAGTTTACACATAACTATCAATCAAGACTTCTTATAAACATGATAAACGGATACATTACTGATATAGTTTATTATGCCAGCCTGGCTGATAAATACAAGTAGGATTAACTGAAGGGCGGAGAGATAATGGCTCAGTGAGCCTCATCTTTCTTGTCTCTTGCTCTTTGATCATCGGACCAGTGTGCAGCTGCCTTGCTCGTT